AAAAAAAAAAAAAAAATGCGCGAAAGAGAAGAGAAGAGAATAGAGAAGGAAAAAAAGAAAAGGGATGGTATGTATCGAAGATAGACAGGTCTTGTCAGGGAATTATTTAGTCTGCAGAAGGAACTAAAAATATTTCAGTTTATTACTTTCTTTTTTTGTTACTTCTACTAGTGCTGTTATCACTACTTGTTCTATTAGTAGTAGTATAATAATTATTGTTATTATTATATATTTATTTGTTTCTTTATTATTATTATTATTATTATTATTATTATTATTTCCATTGAAATTGCATTGAATGACAACGTTAGTAGCAATATTATCATGACAATTACTGCAACGTCATTAGACGTTTTTGCGTAAGTGTGCGACTTTTTAGACAGAAGTGGAAAAGAATACAATGTATTGTTGTGACCAATTACGAAAAGAGCCCCTCCACGAGAGGTGTGCTCGAACATCTACAGGTGGTCAGTCAAGACTTTTTCAAAGGAATAAAATCTATGAAAATTTACCGTTATTTTCCCATTTATATATATATATATTGATTGATTGATTGATTGATTGATTGAGGTATTCTATTCTTTTCCATTAATGATGCTCTGTCAAGCGAAAAAGAAAAGAAACATATACATTTATTATGTGTACTTGAATTTACACTCCTTTTTTTTTCTTTTTTACAGACATATTCTTAATTCTAGTATTTTTTTTTTTTCTCCTTGTTTTTGTTCATATTTTCCACTATATGTGAAGTTATTCTAGGGGTCTTGTTGTTGTTGCCACCACCACCACCACCACCACCACCGCCGTCGCTGCCTCTTTAAGAGGGGGAGGTGTATAATGTGGTGGCAACGGCGCCGGGAAACAAATGAAGATGAGGCAATCAATCAAGAAGCGGAGAAGGCGATGGCGGCAATATTTACACCTTCACATTCTGGAGTGAAAAAAGTTTTCGATGTAGACAACGACAATTCAGGAAGATCTGGGGTTCACCTCATAAAGGAACCAGAACCGGTGGTTTCTACCAAAATAACATCTATTGTGAAGAGAAAGGATAATGTCATGGATCTCCCTCTGGAAGGATGTAAAGAGAATGAAGAGTCGTTAACTTTTCGAGCACTCCCGCCCTGTCCTATTGTTGGATATACTCTACAAGAAGAAGGACTTGTTGATGAACTCATAAAACCACCAAAAGTGCTTTCCGTAACGGAGTTGAAATCCCTCATACTTGAGCTCTCCTCCATTGAGCAGCAGGCGAAGTATACAGTGGATGTACAACTACCGCAACAGGTACATAATAGGGGACGACGCAGTTTGGAACTTGTTGTTAATCCCGCTTTATATATTTGTGGTTTGTACCTGATGTTATGGAGAGCCCCCCGCTTGTATTATAATGCGTCACCACGGGGTAGTCTTTTTTTCACTCGACTTTTCGCACTAATGCGATGGCATTTACCTGAAATGGAAAAGGAAAGACTGGCGCGTAATCATCGCCGAATTTTTCAGGCAACAAATGCGCAAGTTACATTATCGTTTTTTTCTGGTTGTTTTTTAACAACAGTTGCTTTTCTCACACATCCATCGCCTGATGTTATTGATTCTGGTCCTGATATAGAGATTGGGAAGCAATCAGTTGGATTTCAACAACATTCTGAAGGTGCTCTGCGGTGGTTGTGGTATGTGTACTATCACCATCCAGCTTACCGCTATTTGGCTAAAGAGACACGGCCGCCCATTCTACGTAGCACTGGTACGAGTGAAAGGAGTTGATTCCATTGGAGCTTCTGACAAAAGAAGTTTGTACTACTATTACTATTATTACTATTATTATTATTTTTATTCTATATATATATATATATATATATATATATGTATATGGTTGTATGGATGTGACTGATTTCATGCTACAAGACTGGATTTATCTCTTTATTATTCCTCTATTTATCTATTTTTATATTTTTTTTTCTTTCAAATGTAAACATACACCCCAGGTGGCACTCACCAGGGGAGTGCAAGGAATAAGAAATGGCGCAGCGTGGAACGCCGGAGTTTAGTGAAGAGTTGTTCGCCGTAATGCTCGAATCCTGTAGCCCGACGAGGACACACGTGGAGGCACTCACACACGCTGTGCTCCGTCACCTCCCGCGGGCCGCAGATGCATGGGCCGCACTGCGCAAAGCCCTCGTCCGCCAGCAGGAATTGGAGTCGGATGAGAACAGGGCTCTGTGGTATGTGCTGGACTCGCTGATGAAACACGCTCCACATGTGTTTGTGCCTCTTGTGGCGCCGAGACTGTATGATTACGTCGTGCAGCAAATGCCGTGGCATCTCGTGGGTGTTGTGTCCACAATGGGAAGTGGGGCTCTCTGGTGTGATGCGATGATTCGCACATGGGAGGGAGTACTGCCACCCCATCTTTTCCGTAGTGTAAAGTCCTTTGTCGTGCAGCTGCGTAGTGGTAAGGAATTAGCTAATGCGATGAATCTGAATGATGATGGTAGCAACAAGAACGACGATGACGTTCAGTTTATTGATCCACCAGCAACGCGTGAAAATATGCAACAATTACGGGAAACTTGGGAGGTGTTTAAATCATTCGCAGCTGAAGGAGTCACTGGAGTGAAGGATACCGTAGTAACCACAAGAGAAGAAAGAGGAGTGACGAAAAGAGAAGTAACGGAAACGCGGAAAGAGTCCAATACATCATATCTTGTACAAGTAAAGCATGAACCCGGAACTTATACGAATATAAAGACAGATAGTAAAGTACAAGATCCCGATAGCGATGATGATGATAGTGATGTGGAGTATATGCCAGAGTTCGTCAAGGGGGCCAAGCAACGTGAGATGCCTTCATTGACAGCGGATGGTGGTGTACCGCAGCGGGCCCGTCGTGCAGCCCGTCGTCGGCCGCGTGAAGAGGAATGAGAAGAAACGGTGTTTTTGTTTTTGTTTTGTATACATCTCTTTCTTTCTTTCTTTCTCTCTTCATATATATATATATATATATATATATATATATTTCTCTCTGTGTCGGTGTGTATCTTTCTGATTGTATGACTTTCTTTGTCATCGAATTTTGCAATGGGGAAAGTGTATATATATATATGTTTGTTTTCTTTCCCTGTTTCTACTCTATTACTATATTCCTATGTGTTTGTGTTTGTGTGTGTGTATGTGAAAATGGTTTAATTCATGAATTGTGTCCCTTGTACTGCTTGATCATACTCTGTTCGTGATAATATTGGATGTTGTTCTTGTTTGTTCTTCTTATTAAAGGAAAGGGAAGCGAGCACCCAGAAAGCTTTATACATATACTTTTCTATATTTATTTATAAATATAGAGAAATAGATATATATTTATTTTCAGGGAGGAAAAGGCGGATTTGAAACACACCTGTCGCCTTTTCCTTCCTTTGATAAAGTTTTAGTAGTTCGTCGCAAAAGAAGAAACAAAAAAAAAAGTTCAAACAGAAAGAATAACCGGTTTTTAGGATAGTTAACTCTGTTGCTACCGTTTACCGATCTCCTCTTTGGGAAAAGAAATATAAGGAACGAAACGAAAGTGAAAAAAAAACAAAGAGGATAGTTTTTTTCCATTGAGGAAAGAGAGGGACGGAGAAGGGAAAAAATTTAAAGAAAAAAAAGGATAAGTAAACAGATATGCTTTTTTCTACTTTTTCCTTGCGGTGGCGTAGTGTAGACTGCGTCGGTGATATTCCACCAGGGAGAATAGGTCACACATTGTGTGTTAATGCAACAGAGGACAAAGTGTTTCTCTATGGAGGCGTCAATGACAAGAATGAAAGCATCTCCAACTACCTTGATGACCTCTATGCCTTTGATGTGAAAGAAAAAAGGTGGACAGAGATAAAAATGTCAGGAGATTTACAGTCTTCCAGAGCATTTCATACTGCTGTTTATTATGAAGGAAAAACATATGTATTTGGTGGTTGCAATGGTCGTGGACGGTTTAACAAATTGTTTGCCATTAGTGAGGATGGGAGATGTGAACAAATTAATACGCAATGTCAAGCACCATCCACACGGTACTGTCATAGTGCTGTGTTGTTTGAAGGGAAAATGTACATCTTCGCTGGTAAATGTGGAGGTAGAAACAGTAATAAACGCCTAAGTGATCTCCATACCTATGATTTTGCCGCTAATACCTGGGAGACGTGTCCGCAGAGAGGAGATACTCCATCCCCACGTTCTGCTCATGCCGCCTTTACGTGTGGACGTAATATGATTATGTTTGGTGGACGAAATTCCCTTGGTGAGTGTTGTGAGGATATGTATTCGTACAGCTACGACACTGGTGTATGGCGCCGCATTGATCTTCCGAATGGCGGCTCATTGTTTGGTCGGGCACGAAACAGTGTCGTGGTGCACCACGGCCGCGTAGTGGTGTTTGGCGGCTGGAACGGCAAGAAGAAGTTGAATGATCTCTTCACGTACCTTGTCGACTCCAACACCATCGAGACGGTGCAGGACCCGGGCGATAGATGCCCGTCGCGGCGGGAGTGCCACGTGGCGGTTGTCTGCAAGAACACTATGCTCGTCTTTGGCGGCCGCTTCCGCGGTGAGTTCATGAGCGACACGGCGGAGCTCGACTTGGGCCCCAAGTCACTCAAACAAATATGCCGCGACTGGATTCTCGAGAGCGGCTTCAGGGAGTCGTACCCAACACGTAATGGTCAAATGCTGCCACTGCGACTGCAGCAGTTTATTGAGAACTCCCGCATGCTAACGTGCAAGGAACAGAAGGGCGAACCGCAGACGCCACTTCACGATAGCAACGTGCCCAATGAGGCACTCTCCTCCGACAGCAACTCGCAGCATGAGTAAACTGGTGCAAAGATGTTTTTTTTTTTTGTTTTTTTTCTTAACTCTGAAGAGTAGAAAAAAGTAAAGTAAAGAGGAAGTGGGGAGGAGGAAGAGGAAGAGGAGGAGGAGGAGGAGTATGGTTGTTCAATTAAAAAAAAAAAAGTTATCAGCGCAGGAATCAGAAGATATAAAAAAATGAAAGAGAAAAGAATAACTTATTCTGTGAAGTGACTTGGGTATTTTGAGAAAAGGGAGGGGGATAAGCCGTGTCACTACCCTCTCGTCTCCTCACAGGATGCAACCTAAGTAAGAGGAAAAAAAAAAAATAACAGATATAGAGGATGTGCTGTTGGCATATAGTTGGCGAGGAAAAGCAAACAAACAAAAAAAAAAGAAGACACGGGTAAGAAAGAAAAAGAAGTGACAAAATTGTATCAGCAACACTAGAAAGAAAATAAAATGGGGAACCCTATGAGAGCCGAGAACCAGCGTGTAACACCAGTCACATATGGCTTTTTTTTCCGTTGTTGTTGTTGTTTTTCTGTCCATTTTTTTTTTCATGATTATTTTCTCATTTTTTATTACCTCGACTGCGTGTTCCGTTCGTGCATTCCCAGTGGCCATAGTAAGGGTTGGAAACTGAAGACAGAGCAAGGATACAAAGCGAAATGGTAAAATAAGATTTAAAAAAAGAGGAGAGGAATATATATATATATATATATATATATATATATATATATATATGTGTCTGTGTAAAAAGGAAAGAATGTGTGTTTTGTTATTACTCTTATTATTATTGTTACTCATTATTATTATTATTATTATTATTATTATTATTATTATTATTATTA